TCAAAATGGCTATAAATGCATTTCTGAATCAGGGAAGAAGGAATAATTTTATAATTTCTTGGGAGTGATCTGGACAATAGCATTCCCCACGTCTGCGAACCAAAGTGCCTTAAAAAAAGGCCCCAGAGCAGAGAACACATTTTATTTATGTGAAGGGCTACGTACGCAGATAGCACTCTCTTATTGTTTTATCAAATATTACTGCCTGGCTATGGCTTGGCCATCTGCAGGAAACAGGAATCAACGCATTTTGTTGCAGTCCTGTTCCTCCTGAGTCATGAAGCTTTGACTGAAAGACTCCCTGAGTTCAGTTTGTTTTCCTGTTTCTAACTGCGCTCTGTGTTCCAGGTCAGTCTGCGATGACTAACAGATCTGCCACATCAGCTGCAGCATGGGCACAGGGTTATCTCCAACGAGCCTTCAAACAAAAAGCCAAGAGGCTTGTTGGAATATCCGGCGTTTAACAGCTCACTGCACAGACAAACATCTCAAGCTGGATGAGCAGGCAAGGGTTTGAACAAACACTGCCCTGAAACAAGAACCAGCAGCAGTGCCTTTTGCTTTATTCACAGCTTCTCCTTGCTTTGCCATGTTTGTGTGCAGTTTTGTCCTGCAAAGTCTGCATAACATCCAGTTAGCATCCATCACCTTTATTTACAGATGTGGTTTGCCCTTCAATTCACCTTTAGACAAAAGCAGTTGAACCAGGCAGTGAAGTCACGTCATTTTAGAGAATCTGAACAGCTACATAGTGTCAAGCACCTCATTCCTCTCCATCCTGTCCCATACAGCTAAGCAGAACCTGGGAGAAGTGCAGGGAAGGAGCAAAGTGCAACCAGCAAAGAGCACCCTGTTTCCTTCCCAGGTTGGTGCTGATCAGGATGAACCCTGGATCAGCAATTGACTCCCGTGCTGGCTGGGACCCCCACCCAGCTGCTACACCAAGAAAGGCTGAGGAGACCCAGGTAAGTCTGGGCCCATGCTACTTACACTATTAACAATACCTCTCTTCACAGAAAAACTTTTTACCAATACCAGTCCAATACCTTGCCATATTGTTTCCTCCCTGATTTCAGCAAGCTCTGGAAGAGGTTCTGCTGTCAAACCTCTGCGTGCTGTCTTTTGCCTGACTTAGATTAACAAGTCCATTCCCCAAGCTCAAGAGTGGGACACTTAAAAATTGTACTCACCAGGAAAATTTCACCAGAGGAAAGACATGGGGACCGCTAGGTTTCACAGAGGCTTTTATTGTCTCGTTAAGTTCTCCTTAATGAGAACTTCCTCACCTGCTTCAAGTCCCTCTCCCATTCATTTGCACCCACCATCATGCTGCTGGTACTTTCAAGGCTGTCTTAGATCTCACTCCCTCTTCCCTCTTAACTGTTCTGAGCCCAGTTTCTATTCTCACGCTCTCAGCCAGGTCCCGAGGAGAAAATACCTTCTCCTCTTGAGCTGCTGCTTGCCATGTCCTCCTTGGCTGGTTTTCTCCCTGATATCTCTGCAGCTTCTCCCAGCTCCCGTCACCTGCTGTACTCTCTCCTCCAAAGCAGCAACAGCTCTTCTTGAGATCTCTGACTTGCGTGTTTGCTAGAACAGTGCAGTGCTGCCGGGCATAGCAATAATCCACTGCTGTCGAGGACCTGCTGCATGCTGCAATTCACCCAAGCTTTAACTCCTTGAGATTCTTGATAAGTCCTCATCTAAGATCCTGTCTTCATTACAGAAGCAGCTGTGTCACAAAGCCCAGTTACACCAGGGTTGTCCCTTGGCATGATTTAATCATAGAATTTAATCATATATGATTAAATGATTAAAACACCAGAGTTATTTTCTCTTGCGCTAAAGATACAAGAACATCTTACCGTCCTGCTAGACCCTAGTCTGACCAAAACTGTAATGCTGATCTGAGGCCACTTTTGCCTGTGATTCAATCAGGACAGGACACAAGCAGGCTCTAACAGGATTCTGCCAATTGTCTTTTCAGCCTACAGAGGTCTGCCATCCCTCAGCCAAACTTATCCCATGACATAATTTTGGCTAGTAAAGTATCACTGTCCCTTGATACCTTCCTTGGAGGGCAGCTCTGGACCGCAGCTCCAGACAGGGCAGTTTCTGCACTCAGAAGACACAGCCTGGTACAAAACCTCTAACCAAAAATCACCCGCCAAATCTTTCTGAGCTCTTCACCAAGATGTTTTGGTGTTTCCGTATTTACCTTGCCCAACACCAAATTATTCATGACCTCATCAGACTGCTCCCCCTGGCCTGCTAATTCATACAAAACACTGACTGTCAAAACTTGCTTATTCTCTCAGCTAAGGCTCCCCCGTGCACAGCCCGAACCCCGCACGCCCCAATGGCTCTGCGCGTCCCAGCCCCCTGTTTGTATGAGCGCCGCTGTGGGATCGGCCCCTCTGCGGGACCAATGAGGGCCTCACACCAGTGGGGAAGCAGTTTCAGCACCTTTCTCAATGACTGCAAATACTGGGGGGGTTCAGGCTGTTCTACCCATCCCATCGCATCTGAAAGAGCCTTGAGAGTGAAGCTGCGTCAGAGGGGGACACAGCTGCCGAAAGAGCAGCTGTTCAATAGCGCCGCTGTGGGATCGGCCCCTCTGCGGGACCAATGAGGGCCTCACACCAGTGGGGAAGCAGTTTCAGCACCTTTCTCAATGACTGCAAATACTGGGGGGGTTCAGGCTGTTCTACCCATCCCATCGCATCTGAAAGAGCCTTGAGAGTGAAGCTGCGTCAGAGGGGGACACAGCTGCCGAAAGAGCAGCTGTTCAATCTCTTTGAATTGTTTGAATGCCTTTCCCCCCCCCCCCCCCCTTTTTTTTTCATTCAAGCTTTTTGAGATAAGCACATGACAAATACAAGTATTGGAGAGAATGAACAGCCTGCCTCCTAGTCAGGAATGAGGGACTATCACAGTTATCACTGTGATAATGAGATAGTCTGAACACGAAGGAACTCGATACAGTGGGAGATTTATCTTGGAACCAGTCCCTTGGCAGCCTGACCCCGTACTGATGTCAGCACGGTTTCTCATTGCACAAAGGCTACGGATCAGACCTGGGATGACAGACCCACCTCTGTCTCAAGCTCATCCTGTAACACAGCAATGGCCGTTAGCATCGATAAAACGTTCGCTTCCCCCTTTTTTGACAAGTGTCCTGGGGAATGGCTGTCTGAAAGCTTCCTCGGTCGCTTCCCCATCAGGCAGGGAGATTTTCAGCTTTGTAAAGAGATGCTGTTTTGCTTAGGCGCAATAATGTGCTGCTTAGAGTGGAAGTGACTTCTGGCAGGGATATTGCAGGAGAGAGAGAGCAGCTTGGTCTCGGGTCTGGAGTGGGATGGGGTTAGCTGACGGAACAGAACTGCTGCGGGAAGGGCATACTGGGCTTGGCTGGGATGCCAGCACGATGATGGTGCTCTGTAGGATAGGTCCCTGCCGGTATTCCAGTGGTAATTCCTTAGATCACCCAGACACTCCGCTTCATTTAAATCATGTTGTCCCATGGGAACCCTGTACCCACCTTAGATGTCCAAATGACCCAGGAAATTGCTTCTTTCCTACCACAAACCAGGTCAATACTTCAAGTCTTGACCTTCAAGGGTGCCAGGGTAAGGAGAGAGGCACGACAGGAGTCTGAGGCCCTGCTCCAGCGCTATCAGAGACTCCTGTCACAAGGAATTACGTGGGCTCTGCAAACAGATAAGGAAAACCAGAAAGAGCAAGCTCTGGTCTGCACAACCTTGACACTGCAATCGATGCTGGAGTTTACCACCAGGAGCAAGTAAATAGCCCCGGTGTTGCATGCTGCATAGCAAACATTGCAGTTTTATCTGGATGACAGGCAGCAATTTGTGGCAAAGGGTCAATCTCTCTGTTCACTCATGCTTGACATATGGACGGTCTTGTTACATTCCCTGTTCTCAGCGGGTTTATGCATGAATTTAAGGTTAAGTACATGCATGCCTGTAGGATCACGACCTTCATTTAATATTGCATGGCCCAGCAGACCCATAATTAATCCCTACCATGTTCAAGTGGCAGCTCTCACTTGGTAATGTCATTCACGCAGAATAGCGAGATACGTGTAGATTCGCACTCTCAGGCTGGGAGTCAAGAGATTTTCCAGCCATCAGAGCAGTGAGGCTCCAGGCAGCTTTCTGTCAGGATGAATGGGACAAATGGTGGCTTGGGCCATTTTACAGGCAGATGGGGCAGGCCAGGAGAGGGAAGTGCGATTCAGTCACCTCTGCATTCAGCTGCCTAGAATGGGCTGGGGATGACAGCACCGCAACACTGCCATTCCCTTTTATGTGACCAATATTTTAATCTTCACAAAAATTAAAGTGTTTCAGAGGCTGATCAAACTTGGAAAGAAAACCCCCACCATCTTCATCCTGAGCAGTCTGCAAATGTGAAACTTGACCAGATCCAGCTCAGCTACACTTGCTCTTCTATCTTCTCTGAACCACTGGTTTTCAGATTTATCAAAAGATCTGAAACCCAATGATAAGCCAGAACTGCGGGCTGGCAATCAGATCCACACGGACAGAGTGCCCCAGGCAAGTCCTCACACCCAGGTCTGAAGAATAGCTGCTAATGCAGTGGTTTCCAAATTCTGGGTATTTAATCTTTTTATCTAGTCGTGTTACTGAAGATGAGCATGCTTGGTCAGGTTGGATCAACAAGTGTTTCATCACACAGGCGACACAACAGGCTGACTATGTTTTACATAAATTTATTGGGATTTAATATTCCTTCACCAACAGTACAAAATGTCAGATCTCAGCAATTTAAGGGCCAGAAACATGTCAAGCACACACACAGGTTTGAGATACCTCCAAAATGTCAGATGACACTTCATTAGCACACACGGCCCTTTGCAGCCCTGAGTCCTGCGATGATAGCTCTGAAATGAGGGGAGATTGCAGAGAAGAGAACTGCCCCCTCCAACAGTGCTGGCCATGCAGTAAACCAGCGCCTGCTCAGACCCTCGGGACCTCCGCTTCCGAAGCAGACCTGGACTTTCGCCTGCTGGTCAGGCTGCCCAGGACTGACTCCTCGCTGAAGGCCCCTTCGAAGGTCGACAGGATGGACTGGCGAAACTTCTCCTTGAAATCTGGCCCCACAAATACATACAGAATGGGGTTGATGCAGCTGTTGAAGAAAGCGAGGCTGGAAACCAAGGGGATCCCAATGTAAAGGGCCATTTTCATCTCATGACTGGAAGAGTTTTGGGATATTTCCATCAAAGAGAAGACATGATAAGGGAAATAACAGAGGAAAAATGAGACTGTGACAGCAATGATAATTCTGTATGGCTTCGCAGAGTTGGTTAGCTGCCTTCTTTTCAGCTTGACAGCAACAATGCTGTAGCAGATGAGAATCACTGTGAAAGGGATGAGGAACCCGCATAAGAATCGCGTTATGATCATCGCTTTGTGCCGCATCCTCCACAGCCTCCGCGTTGCCTCAGATGCGTAGTTATCGGACAGGGCAAAATTATTGTAGCAGCTAGTGATGTTCCTGGAACTGACCGCAGTGTCCCGAAAGACAAGGTACGGGGAGCTGAGGAGGAGAGCCAGGACCCACGTCCCCAGTGCGATCCTGGCCGCCAGCTCCGGACTCCTGCGGTTGTGAGACCAGACGGGAAAGGCCACAGAAACGCAGCGGTCCATGCTGATGACTGTCAGGAGGAAGACGCTGGCAAACATGTTGAGGAACGCGATGGTGCTGTTCAGCTTGCACAGGAGCTTCCCGAATGGCCAGTGGAAGCCCAGCGCTGTGTAGGCGATGCTGAGGGGCAGGAAAAAGGTGAAGATGAAATCAGCAACGGCCAGGTTGAGGAACCAGATGGAGTTCACCGTCTTCTTCATCTTGAAGCCTGCAATCCAGATGACGAGGCCGTTCCCTGTCACCCCCAGCAAGCAGGCGATGCTGTACACCACCATGGAGAGGACGTGCATGCTCTTCTGGAGGCCGGAGTAGTAGTCATGGGCGGTGGCGTTCTCAGGCTGCACGGTGGGGAAGCTGTCAAAGAAGGGTGATGGGGAAGAAGAGACGCTCTCCATTGCTAGCAAGCCGCAGTCCTGAAATCATAACAGCGCACATGGCTATTATCTCCTACAGCTCAAGAGAGGTGAAAATCTTTGCTAGCAGCTGCACACAGAATGTTGATTTTTTGCTTGCAGCTCCTTCATTCCACTGCAGCCCGGGGTGCTGCGGGGTGGAGGGCTGGTGTCACCCAGTGTGGTGTTCCCCACACCGCAGTGCCTTGCAAGTGGCCACATGACCCTGCCACTGCTCTGCACGTCACAGAAACCACCGCGAACTGAGAAACCGACCCAGGTTTTGCTGTTGGTGTCGGCGCTGTCAGAACAACACCTCCGTAAACAGCCCACAACAGCAATCCACCGTGGGCAGCAGCACAACCACGGGAACCCAAATCCCACAGCTGTGACAAGCCCTCTTTGGATGACCAAATGACAAATTAAGAGCAAAAAGCATTTAGACTGATAAAGATGAGGTTCAAAGACTGTTCCTTCACCAAGGACCTTCCAGGGAGGAGCACTCTAATAACAGCTGGTGTAACCGTAACCTGGTTAACTGTAAGCCCATTACCCACAGCCCACCCTCCCGGTGAGCCCACCGTTCTCCTCACCCCTCCTGCTCACCCCAGCACCTTGCCGGGTCCCACAGGACTCACCGCCGTTCCGCGCTCCTTCGCCGCTCTGCCCGCAGCGGGTGGTCTCGCCTCCTGGCTGACTCCCCTTTGTGACGCTGCTCCTCTCTGCAGTGACTCACGCTGCCTCGTCCCATTTTCCCATGGCTTGGGATCACGGGGAATTTAGTAGGATCCCTTATTCCCTAATCTTCTTCCTCATTTGCAGGACACTGATTTAACCCCTGAAGCCCCGGCGGTCGCAGGCTCCCCCATCCCCTAACTTGGATCCAGCACACGGACAACACAGCCCCTCTGCTGCCTGCGTGACAGCCCCCCGGGCAGCTTCCTTCCTCCCAAGCACCCGGACACCCCGACGGGCTCTGGGGCAGCCCCACTGCGGGGGGCACGGGGCAGGCTCTGCTCCCCAGGGCAGCGGTGTCACCC